GCTGGTGAAGTACGCCAAGGACACGCGCTACTGCACCTCTGGCGTCTCCACGCACGACAAGTGAGTCCCTGGGGCAGGAGGACCCACCCCCGCGGGCCCAGCAGCTGGGCTGCCCAGTCACTGCCTCACCCTTCCCCACAGGAACACCATGGAGGCCGTGCCAGCCTGCCTCCTCAAGGACGTGTACCAGGAGGCACTGGGCTCCGCCGTCATCGGCATTGACGAGGGCCAGTTTGTAAGTGCGTGGCCAGGGCAGATGCTGGGGAGCTCTGCAGGATGCAGTCTCTTCAGAGCTCCCTGTGCAGAAGGTGGTCTGAATCCTCCGTGGGAGGGGGTGGGAAGCAATACCCTGGGGCAGCCTGATCCTGCTGGACCATGTTCACGTAGTCAAACCCTTCCCTTAGTCCCTGCAGGCTGAGGACAGTGGGACTGGAGCCCATTTCACGGATAGGAAACACAGCTCTAATTTTCTTTGTGTCCTGTGCCACTGAATCCTGAGCGATGTGCTGCCCCTTCTTCCTCCTGATGCTCTTTCTGTACCTCCTCTAGTTCCCAGATGTCGTGGAGTTCTGTGAGGTCATGGCCAATGCTGGGAAAACTGTCATTGTTGCTGCTCTTGATGGGACTTTCCAGAGAAAGGTAAAACACTCTTTTTAGTACAGCAGCTGCCTTGGGATCCTCAGAGGACCCATCCGACAGAACTGCTGTCTTGCCACAGGCGTTCGGGAGCATCCTGAACCTGGTGCCGCTGGCAGAGAGCGTGGTGAAGCTGAACGCCGTCTGCATGGAGTGCTACCGAGAAGCCTCCTACACAAAGAGGCTGGGAGCAGAGAGGGAGGTGAGTTCCCTTGGAGCAGAAAGCTACTTCAGTAGCTTCATCTTGCTGGTCTCGCTAGTCTAGAGGGGTCTCCTCAGGGGAACTGAGCTCTGCAGAGTCACTCTCCCAATTTTCTTGCCAGGTTGAAGTGATTGGAGGAGCAGACAAGTACCACTCCGTCTGCCGAGCCTGCTACTTCCGCAAGCGGCCTCAGCAGCTGGGGTCGGAAAACAAGGAGAACGTGCCCATGGGGGCGAAGCAGCTGGATGTGGCTGCCTCCCGAAAGATCTTTGCTTCTTGACTGCTGGGCTCCTGCAAGGAGAAAAATGAGAGGAAGCAAGCTAAATGCCACAGCTCCCAGACACCAGATCTAGCTTCTTCTGCTTTAAGCAAAACTGTTAAGTGTCTTAGCCCTGCCTGCCGAACAAAGCCACTGTTCTTCTGCACCGAGCGCCAGGAAAGAGGAGGATCAACTGGACCTGATGCCGAGGGGTGGCTGAAGCAGGAGCTGAGCCTGACTAAAAGTGAGTTCCCTTCTCAGAACCCGGGAAAGGGACAGGTGCAGTTCCTGATGCTGCCACACAAACAGGTCCTGGAAAACTGTCACAGCAAGCCAGGCTGCAGGGCTTCCATCGCTCACCGTAGCTCTGGCCTGCTCTCCTGGTCTTCTGCGTATGCTCGGGCTGGCACTGGTGGCTGGTTTGCTTGCCCGTGAATGCAACCGTTTCTTTATCTCTTGTGTGCTGTTGCTAAATTCCAGGTTTCTTAAGACAATGTACAGTAACTTGGTATTTTAAACCCACTTCCTTTTTTAATGCAGTCCAAGGAGATACCCTGCCCCTTGTCACAGACCTGTGGCACAACTTTCCAACTGACACATGTAGGAGCAGCCTGGCCCCCTTTGCACGATGGCACGTGTCCCATCCGTTTCCGTTATGCTCATTTGCTGTAACTGTCTTGTAAATTTTTGGTGAAACAGAAGCGGGGGAGGAAGGCTCGACTGGCCAGCCTGACAGCAGGCTCTTCCTAGCCTTTGAATTTGAAGAGGGCTAGGAGCAGTCTGGTAGCAGTCTGTGTATTAAGACAGAGTCCTCTTGGAAGAACTGGACTGCACTTCAGGAAGAGCCTCCTCTCCAAAACCAGGGTGTTTTTGCTCAGGTTCAAGCTTGGTGCTGCCACTTTGGTGCTTAGTTACCTGTGAGGGGTTTGGAGGCTCAGGACTTAATTTGCAAAGGTTTGGGCTGCTGTTTCTGCGAAGATCCAGCTACTTGGAAAAACATCTCTGTTTTTGAGTGGATGTTTCTCAGCTGTAGTTGTGTATCTTGCTTCCCTCCTGAACCTTCCAAAAATTTTTGAGGCTGATTCTTCCTCTGCTCTAAGTCAACTGAAGGATCCTCTTCCCCTTCTGCTTGATTTGGCTTCTGGAAGATGTTGTTCTTTTTCTTCTTGCAAATGTGCTTTTCCCTGTAAGCCAGCGTCCACAAGCTCCAAGCAGCAGCTCTTGGGTCTGGCCAGGTGCAGAGGCCGTACCGTTTGCCTGCGCCCTCTGGCAAGGAGGGAGGTGACGAGAGCTGTCTGAACCCCAAGCTGTCTGAAAACCCTGCTGCCTCTGTGTTACTCGAAGCGATGACAGTCGTAGTGCTCACAAGCACTTGATTTCCAGGCCTGGGCTTTCCCCTGAGGGATGGGGGGGTAGCACTGCTACTGGTTTAGGTTAATAAATAACTTAGTGAAATTGCTTGTGTGTGTTTTATACCAGACTGCTCTGAAAAGGCTTCCCTGCAGTTACAGTGTGTAAACAGTGCAGCAGCCTGGGCTGGTCGCAGGCGTAGCATTGGAGCTGTCTGCTCAAACCTTCTACCAAACAGACTGCGAGGAGCAGGGCTCACCTAAAAATAGGCACCAGCGTGAGCGTGCTGTTTGCATTTAGCAGTTGGCTGAGTCTGCTCTGCCATGTCCCCTGGAACCCCCAGCCCTCGGGGAGAGAGGAGGAAGCTGGTTTTGCTTCCCCAGAGAAGAAAGGCACGTGGTGGCTAGGTGAAAAAGTTTATTCCATCTCTACAGTGACAAACCAACAACTATTTGAACACCAGCCCCAGCAGCGACAGCTCACACACCGCACGCTGCTGCTGGGAACAGCTTCACAACAGGTGCAGCAGAAAAACAACCTGAGACAGCCAGC